GGGCCTTGATATGTCCTTCTCTTGCTTATCATGTTTCTGATTTCTGTACTTCGTTGCTGCAGTCTATTGATGTGATGGACTACTCATTACTTGTTGGTGTGGATGAGGAAAAGCATGAACTGGTTCTTGGCATCATTGATTTTATGAGGCAATATACATGGGACAAGCATCTTGAAACATGGGTAAAAACATCAGGCATCCTCGGCGGGCCTAAGAATGCATCTCCAACCGTGATTTCACCCCAGCAATACAAGAAACGTTTTAGAAAAGCAATGACCGCTTACTTTCTTATGGTGCCAGACCAGTGGTCTCCTCCAATAATCGTTCCCAGTGGATCACAGTCGGATGTGCATGAAGAAAACTCTCAAGGTGGTAATACTTTTGATTGATGTGAAACCTTTTCACTGTAAATTTTGAAAATGTAAGTTCTATGGCAATTTTCCCTGCCTTTTCTGTCTTCCACTCCCCCTCCAACACCTTTCTATTCTTCGCGTAACCTGTGGATGGTTGCTTTTGACACACATATGTTCATTTTTTTTGTCATAAGATGGAAAGGGTTCTTCAAATGGCAACAAATTCTTTTCATGAAGTATATAGTGTATGTAAGATATTATTTGTTAGTTTTACGTATCCTTTTTCCTTTGCAATCTCAGCCCTTGTAATCATATTGTATTGAATCGGGAATTTGGTATTTTCTGGTAAAGCAAATTTTGATGTTGTAATTGTTGTTTCTTTCGGGCTGTAAGTGTTGATCTGATTGATAAGGATTTTTTTTTTTTTTTTTTTTTTTTGTGTTTCCAAGGAACTTTTTTTATTCGGAATGGATGAGTTTTTCTCTCAAGTTCTTTAGTGTCAGGAAAATGTTTTCCGGAATTAGTACAAAAAAATGAGTTGGATAACTTAGATTTCAAGAGTAAATTTATACCCTTAAAATACCCTTAGAAAACTACCCCTTGGCTAAAATGGGTAAGAGGTTTCTGTGAAATTTCACTTTGGTCTGATAAGTCTTTAAATTTCTTTTGGAATTTAAGCAAACACTACTTTGAATTTTGTTCAAATGAATTCTTCACTTGATGGTAATCCAAACGGTCATTAGTTGCTTGCAACATAATTGTTAATATGGCTACTTGTATTAGGTCAATTTTAAGTGTTACCATTGTAGTGGTATCTATATAAATGATTATGCTGGGAAAGTATACTTAAAACAATCCCTAGAGAACCCTAAACCTTAGAATCTGCACTCACTATTTTTCTTCCCTTTCAGTCTGTCCAATTTCCTCAGACCTTTTTAACCTACATGGCTTCCCTTCTTTAACTTATTAAGAACAGTAAAAAAATCAATCTAATATCTGCCTGAACCAGCTCACCTAAATCGCTACCACAAACCCAAACCCGTTAGTTTCTAAAATCTTGTAGTGATTATATAGTTAAAATTTTTTCTATATAAAAATGTGTCTAAAAAATATTTATAAATTTATATAAAACTTCCTCTAATTTTGGAAAGTAACTTTAATGAGAAAATAAGAAAATATTTTGTGAAACAAAAAGATTGACACATCTGATTCTCAGAAACTGAGTGTTCTCTCTTTTGAGAAGAGCTGCTGGTACAACTATGGCCTACAAGAGCTTGAGTCTAATATTTGTAGAAATAAAAACTTATAGAAGTTCAAAATAGATGTCTAGAAAAAAAAAATTATAAAAATTGAATGGGAAAAGGACCAAACTACAAAAGATTTATCATGAGAAATTCAAAATATAAAAAGAAAAAATAAGTGCGGAAATGATAATTTGGTATATGTAACTGAATAGTCAATTTACTATTTTAAAAAAGTAAATGGAAGAGAAATTTTTTGAAGAAAAAAAAAAAAACAGTTCAAAGTTTAAAAAATTTATTAATTAAAAATATTTCTGTTTGAAAAATTAAATAAACGGCTACAAATACAAATTAATCATTAACTGGCATTCATTTCAAGTAAAAAAATTTTAACTACTAATGTAAACCGTAGTAATTAATTTGCATTTTCCATAATAAATTTTATTGAAATATTTTTAAAAATTTATCAAAACTTGTATTAAATAACAGATATTCGTGGTAAATAAAAATCTATTTCATATTTAAAATATTAAATTCAGATGGTTCAGTTTACAAATTGTGATCTCCCCAACCCTTTTTCCTTACCCTTATAAGTTTTTTTATTAAACAACTTCATTAAAAGCAAGCTGCCTCCATCAAACATGGCATCCAAAGATGTGAAGTTGAAGCTGAAGCATAAGAAGGAGTTGTACATGAAGAAGCATAAGTAGAAGAGCAGAAGAAATGTTTATTTGACATAATTTTTACTTTTGCTGTCAATAAATACAAATTCGAAAAAATATTAAAAAATATAAATATACTGCAAAAATAAAAAGTTCAACAAATACACTAAAAAATATAATTGTTTTTAGATCAAAGCAGAGGTTACTTTCTAGACTTTAATAAAAATAAAATTAGAAGTTAGAAGTAAATACTTTCAAAAAATGATTTATACTGTAAAAATTTAAATAAACATATTAATTAATTAGCAAATTTAAAATTTTAAAATAAAAATATATTAATTTATTAATAATAATTTTATATTTGTATTATAAACTATTCAACTCAAATTTATCTTAAAATCAAACAATAATAATAATTTAAAATCAATACTTAATAAATAAACTAATTAAATTAAAATAAATATTGGAAATAATTTAAATTATTACATTACTTAAACAATATTATTATTTAAATAATTAAAGTAATCATTTTTATATTATATATATTTTATAATTTTGATATTTATTATTAATTTTATAACATAATTAATTAAATAAAATACAATATTAGAGCATTTTATAATAAATTTTACTAAATATTATGTTATTTCTTCTTTTAAAAGCTATATTTTCTTCTGAAAAATATCTTTTAGAAACTTTTTAACGGTTAACAATACAAATAATAGCTGCGTTAAACATACCCAGAAGCTAATAAACAAGCAAACGATTTGTTAATTTTCTCCTCCACATGCTTTCATCACTTGCTACTGCCATGAGTTTCATAACAGGACAATTCTTACACGCAGTGAGTAATCTTTATGACAGCACTGAGATTTAGAATTTATTTATATTAACAATAATTTTTTTGTTTATTTTGAAAAAAGAAAAACTAATTCATTTATTTAATGGGCACCCTTAAATATATCTATATACTAATTACATATAAACAACGATATATAAGTTCTAAATATGCTTAATTATTATTGTTGTCCAATTTACATTACAATATATTCCAGCTTCCAAAGAATAAATTGATATTGGCTCTGAAATAAATTCAAGCAGAATTTCTCAACATACTGTCTCCTTCTCAATGACCTTGCTCCCTCAGAATTGGCCTATATGACAAAATACTTTCTCTGTTCCCATTATCAAGTTGCTAGTACTCAGGTTCTTCTCTACTGATCTACAACACCTTATGAATAACAAATTTTGAAGAGCTAAAAATCCTCTATGTATGGTCAAGATATCAGGGAATTGAAAAGAGAAAGAAACTAGAAACTAGAAACACTTGCACCTACAGGAAATTGTCAAGTTGTGCTTGCAGATCCGGTATAGAAACCATATTAATGATATTTTGTTCTTCAGGTGAGTACTCTGCTTTAAGTATGGACTGTACTTGAGCATGAGCTTCCGCAATGTTTGTCCTACAAAAGTATAAAAGTCATGAGAAATTGTGGAGAAATTGTTTAAATTGATGTGAACATGTGCTATTCATAGGCGCACGTGTGAATTCACATCACGCCTGTGCTATTCACAAACATGCATATGCAAACATGCAGATCTTAAAAACTCTCTGGAAAAACTGGTTTCAACCATCTGAGATGAAGGGGAAAAACTGGGGCAACGGGCTAACGGACCAAATTACTGGCTCATGAACATGTGCTTATTGTGCACCACCTACTCATTACCTAACCTAGATGATTAAAATACAATCGGAAAAAGGGTGGGAAATTTGCAAACCACTGTTGTATTTAGGGAAGACTTGCAAGTTCAATCCCAGTAATGCAGTGAAGGAGAAAGATATTTGAGTAAAAAAAAAAATTAGAAGTAAAAGAGGGCAGCAGAGTCAAATTCAGCTTGATGATTTCCAGCTTATCTCCTATTTGACTCTAGCTCACCTCCCTTCCAAAGTCATGCTGCTTCTAATGACTTAAAGGAAACATTTGAAAAATCCACTTGATCATTTATGTGATAACTATCGCAAGGATTAAAGTTCTCTTTATATGAAAATATTTTTGGTTTCATTTCCTAAATTCATAAAAATATAAATGGTTGCATGTTTGCGAAGTAACACAGAAGATGATAGTAAAAATGAAGATTATAGGGTTGGATACCAAATTAGTATCCCCCTAAAAATAGGATATAAAATACAGTTTTAAAAGGTTTGGGAAACTTTCCTCTATTTATTTCTTCTTCTAGATTTTCTCCTAATATTCTGCATATTTCTTCTAGATTCTTTCCTAATATTTCTGTGTATTTCTTCTCCTAGATTTTCTCTTAATATTTCTGCACCCCTCAAGCTAGGCATGAATGTTGATCATGCTAAGCTTGCAGCTCAATTTCTCAAAGTTCTTTCTTGGCAAGGCCTTAGTCACTATATCCGTGGTTTGTTGGTGGACCGAAATATATACCACATTGATTATCCCTTGTTCTATCTTCCTCTTTGTGAAATTTCAATCTACCTCGACTTGTGTAGTTTGATCATGATAACCGGATTCTTTAAAATACTGAATGCAGACAGATTGTTATACAACCCCTTTATGGGAGTGGAATTCTCAATTTATAACTCCTTTAGACACATGCCACATTCCTTTGCCATCGTAGTGCCGAAGCCCTGAATTCTGCCTCAGGGCTGCTTCAAGCTACAACCAGTTATTTCTTGCTCTGGCATGTTTCTAAATTTTCCCACATATGAGCAGTATAAAAAAGTTGATGTTTTGTCTCTGCCAGTCAGCATCAGCGAATATCTCTACATCTCTTTCAGTGATTTCTCTAGTCTCATTTTTAAGTATCATAGAATTCGATTCACAGCTCTTAAATATTTTTTAGTGGGTTATTCATGAAATAACTTACAACATTTACTACAAATCTGATATCTGACCTAGTGTATAAGAGATATATAAGCTTTCCAACTAGTTTATAATATTGTCTCTTGTTTGACTTTTCCCATATGCTCTGGATTTGATATTTGGTTCTGTTGGGGTTTCTGCTGGTTTATACCCATTTATGCTCCGGATTTTATATTTGGCTTTATTGGGGTTACTGCTGGTTTATACCCACTTATTCCTCCTGTTTCCTTCAGCAAATTAATTACATACTTTCTTTGTGATATAGTGATTCCTTTTTGGATCTTGCAACTTCCATCCAAGGAAATATTTCAAATTCCCAAGGTCTTTGGTCTTGAATTCTGAGGCAAACATTATCTTGAGTTCTAAGATTTTTTCTTCGTCATTTCCGGTTAACACTATGTCATCCATATACACAATAAGACAACAATTTTCCCTGTATGGGAGTGCTTCAAAGACAATGTGTGATTCGTTTGACATTGTGTGTATCCACACAATTTCACTTTTTCATTAAATTTGTCAAACCACGCTTTAGGAAATTACTTCAATCCATAAAGGGCTTTTTTTCAACTTACTGACTATATTCATATTATCCTGTGTCTCAAAACCTGCAGAGATATCCATGTAGACTTCCTTTACAAGTTCCCATTTAAGAAAGCATTTCCACGTCAAGTTGGTAAAGTGGTCAATCAGGATTTGTTGCAAATGATAACAATACTTGGATTGTAATTAACTTCGCAACAGGGATAAATATTTCTTGGTAGTCAATACCAATATGATTGTAAGAACCCTTTAGCAATTAACCAAGCTTTTAACCTATCAATTCTCCCGTCGACTTTATACTTCATAGTGAAGACCTACTTACAACTTACTTTCTGTTTTACTTCTGGTGGTAATTTTATGAATTCCCATGTACCCATTTTTCTTCAAGGCTATCATTTCTTCCAACACAGCTATCTTCCAACCTGGAATACTCATAACTTCCTGAATTGTTTTGGGGAACACGAGTATTATTTAGACTTGTAAAAAATGCTTGAAATTAAGGTGATAACCTTGTATATAATACAGTAATTGCACAAAGGATGGTCTGTACAAGATCTTACACCTTTTCTTAGTGCGATTGAACAATCATCTCTCTAGTTGCATAACTTTTAGTGAGGTCAGGTTACGTGTTGGACCTTCATTCGGAGTTGATACTTAGCTATGCTCAGGTGTTGGACGTTGTTGCTCTACCTCCTCTCCCAATTTCCTTCTAGAGTGAATGGTAATCTCCACGTTCTTGGCTTGTTCTGGGTTTTAAGTAAACAGGTTCTCTTGGGAATCCTCCTGGGTAGACTCAGATTCTAGAATTTGTGATCCATGTCCTAGAATTGGTTCATATAATGAAATAAAGTTTTATTGGGTAGGCAATAATTCAATAGTTTGGTAATCTTCCCTGTTTAATCCAAAATTTGGGATTTTTCTTGATTCCTCTCTTCCTGAATTTCAAATTTGAGATAAAATGGTTGTTGCTCAAAGAAATTAACATCCATAGAGGTATAAAATCGTCAAGTTGTAGGGACATTTGTATCCCATTTGGTTTGAGGTATACCTTATAAATATGCACTTTACTAATCCTGGGTCCAATTTGCCATGGTGTTGCGAGTGAACGTAAAAAAATGCGTGTGCATCCAAAACTTTTTAGTGGGTTTGATGAAATGGTTCTGTTATGTGGTTAGGTTGTGAATAATTTTTGAGTTGGATTCATAAATTTTAATATTCGAAAAGACATTTTATTGATGAGATAAGTAGCAATGAGTACAACTTCTTCTAGAAGTGGTTTGGCACGTTGATTGAAACATGGCTACCCCAGGATATGACAATTCTTTTTTTCAGCTATGTTATTTTATTGAGGTGTATCAACTCATGATCTCTGATGTATAATCCCTTGGTTTTCTAGGTAGCTTTTAAGGGTTAGTTTGAAGTATTCCTTGGAACTATCAGTTTTAAAAATTTGAATCTGTGTAAAATTGGGTTTGATTGTTTATTGGACTCTTGACATATTTTCCGAACTTCAGGCTTTTCTCTCATCAGGTAAACCTAGGTAATTCTGCTATGATCATCTATAAATGGAACAAATCATTTAGCATTGATAATATCTTTTTTATTCTTGATGGTTTCTATACATCACTATGGATCAAAGAGAATGGACTGGATTCTTTATAAAGCTAAATTCTTTAGAACTTTTATTAAATAATGAAACGTAAAGGGTTAGGAAAGAAAAATACTGAATAATTCTTGTTCTATTATTGAAATGAGAAGTAGGGATATATATATATATATATATGTGGACAGATTCATATATGGTAATCAACATAAATTACCCTTCTATAATATTTTAACACTCCCCCTCAAGTTGGAACATAAATATTAATTATGTCCAACTTGTTACGAAAATATTCAATCCGTATTTCATTCAAAGGCTTTGTAAATATATCAAGTTGTTCTCTTGTTTTTACTAACCAGTAGATATTAAATTTTCTTGAATTTTCTCTCGAATGAAGTGACAATCAACCTCAATATGTTTAGTTCTCTCATGATATACAGGATTTGAGACAATATGAAGCGCAACCTGATTATCGCACCAGAGTTTTGCAAGAGATGTGGGCTTCAAACTCACTTCATCTAACAGATGATGTATCCATAAGATTTCGCATGTGGACTGGGTCATAACTCTATATTCGAACTCTGCACTTGAAATAGATACAACTGTTTGCTTCTCACTTTTCCATGATACGAGATTCTTATCAATAAAAACACAGTAACCCGTAGACCTCCTATCAATCTTAAATCCAGCCCAATCAACACCTGTAAAACAGTCAATGTGAATATGTTTCTGATTTCTAAATACTATGTCGAGCCCCAGAGCACCTTTTAAGTAGCACAAAATTTGTTCTAAAACCTCCTAATGTTTAACTGTAGGTGCCGATATAAATTGGGTAACAACACTGACAGGGTATGTAATACCCGAACGAGTCATAGTAAGGTAATTCAATTTCCCAACAAGTCGTCTGTATTTCTTTGAGTCATCAAGGGAATCACCATCATCTTTAGTAAGATGTACATTTGGTACCATTGATGTACTGCATGACTTAACTCCCAATTTTCCTGTTTCTACAAGTAGATCAAGTACATACTTTCTCTGAGATAACAGAATCCCTTCCTTACTTTTTGTTACTTCAACCCCCAAAAAGTATTTTACCTGTTCCAAGTCTTTGGTATTGAACTTGATATGTAAGAATGACTTGAAAGAGGATATTCCTGCATGGTCATCTCCTGTAATCACAATATCATCAACATAAACAACAAGAAGTATAATTCCAATTGTTGATTGTCTATATAAGACTGAATGATCACATTTGCTCTTCTTCAATCTGAACTTACATACTATCTCACTAAACTTATCATACCACGCACGGGGACTCTGCTTCAGACCATACAAATATTTGTTTAAATGACAGACTTTTCTGTACTCCCCCTGAGTAATAAACCTATATGTTTGCTCCATATATACTTTTTCTAAGAGATCACAATGAAAAAAATGCATTTTTAATATCCAATTGGTGTAAGGTCCAATCTCGGGAGCCGCAATAGATATGAATAAATGAATAGAGGAAAGTTTGACCATTAGAGAGAATGTATTAGAATAGTCCACTCCATAAGCTCACACAATCTTTCGCTACTAGTTGAACTTTAAGTCTTGCCACAGAACCCTTTGGATTCACTTTAATTGCAAATACCCATTTGCACCCTATAACATTTTTTCCTTTAGGTAAATCTACCAAATCCCAAGTATGATTATCATTAAAAGTATTTATCTCCTTAAGCATAACATTACGCCAACTAGGGTAATTCAAAACCTCATTAACTGTCTTAAATATAGAGATTGAATCTATAAAAACAATTAAAGTACTAGACGAAGGAGACAGATAGTCATATGATATAAAATTAGCAATGGGATAAGTTGGCGTAAGAATGGTGCACTGACGTTTACCTTTACGAACACCAATGGGAAAATCAACGTTCTGTGTGGCAGAATAAGATAACAACAGATTTGGTGCAGCACATGTATCATCAATTTGTTGTCTTCTAAAATAAACACAAACAATTGGTGGTGGTACTTGGGTCAGAAGCACATGAACATTATCATCAACTTACTCAAGTAGAGCTGGAGGCACATCATCTGAAGGAGTACTTTTATTTCTTTACTCAATAAAAACACTTGGTGTGAAGATATAAACGAGCCACTCGTTGTCTGCCTCTGGACTTGTAGACTTGGACGATGAGGAGAAGAACGGTACATATTTTAAAAAAACTACACAGTTGATACCAAATATTTATTGACATATGAAAAGTAACACCTGTATCCTTTCTGAAGGCAAGAATACCCCAAAAATACACCCTTCAAGGGGCTTTTGGTCCAATTTTATCACAGTAGGTCGCACATCTCGAACATAACAGGTGTTACCAAATATCCTAAATTGCACCGGAAACAAAGACTTGTTTGGAAAAAGGAGACTGTAAAGAACATCCCAATCAAGCACTGTAAATGACATACGATTAATCAAGAAACAAGTTATACAAACAAGACCAACCCAGAATTGCTTAAGGACTTGTGTTTGGAACAAGAGGGTTCGAGCTGTCTCAAGATAATATCTGTTCTTCTTCTCAGCGAACCCGTTTGAGATGGTGTATCAATACACAAGGATTGGTGAAGGATCCCATGTTGAGTCATATAATTCTAAAATGAATAGGACATATATTATTTGGCATTATCACTCCTCAATACATGCACAGAAAGCAAATTCAGCTCGTTTATTGACCCTTAGACCTGATGGACTACGATGATGGTTTGCAAACTGACATGACTCATAATCCAGTGAGGATACATCATGAAACTGAGGACATACCTTATTCAACACAGGTAGAGATGAATGTCCCAATTAACAATATGCTTCAAATGAAGAGATAATACTAGAGCAGACAACTTATCGAGGTACTTAAATATCAAGAATGTAAAAACTATCTGACACATTTTCTTCACAAATAATCTGCTTTGTCATAAGATCTTGAAGTACACAATGATTAGGAAAAAATGTAACACAATAATTTAAATATTTAATAAACTTACTTACAGAAATCAAATTGAAGGCAAGTTTAGATAGATTTAAGATAAATGATAGAGTAATAGATGGTGTTAATTTTGTGGTTCCCGAACACACAATATTATATGTCGACCCATCGGTAATAGTTACAGGAAAAAGGTGCTTTGTGTAGTCGAAAACTAGAAAAAATATTAAAATTAACTATCATGTGATCTGTAACACCAGAATCAATCATTCATATGTTTGAGGAGGATATAAGACATTTTTTTCTGATTCAGCAAGAGCAAAAAATTTATTTAAACATTCATGATACTTAGGGAATTTAGTATACTCATCAGCTGAAATCATAACAGTTCTCTCAAAAGATGAATTAACAGTAGTAACAACAATATTAGCGGTATGTGTCTTTCGATTGTGATTCTGCAATTTCTTACAGTACCGTTTTATATGCCCTTATTCATGGCAGTCGTAGCAAACAATATTATTATCTATTTCATTTAAAAATTATAGAAAAAACCATTCAGATATTCAAATCACAATAATTAGAGATACTCAGAAAACACTGCAAATATACTAGAAAAGTCTGAGATCAGAGTACTTCTTCACGCACGGGGATTAACAATCCT